AAAAAAAAAAAAAAAAAAAGTGGATGATCATTCTGATACGCGGTTTTATTAGATGACTCCACTATCTCTGATTCACCAGAGCTCAGTTCATTACTTTACTTCACTCTCTGTATGTGTTCATTCTCCTGGGGATAATGTTTCCAAGGGGCTTAGCTTGGTGCTTGCTGCATAGTTAGTGCTGCAGTCTGGCGACGATGGTGGCGGTTATTTTATCAAACTCTGAATTCTACTCTGCAATGTCTGTCTTTTCCATATTAGGAATGGTCCGCTGGGAATCAGCTAACCTAGTTTAGAATTCTAGTCTGCTACTTACAGTCACTTGACCTTTCAAAATGCTCCTAATTTCTCCAAGCCACAGTTTCTTCATGTGAAAAATTTTGGAGTCAGTCATGTTTTCCTGGATATATAATAAGTTTGCTGGGGAAATCAAATGAGATCATTAAACTTCTAAAATTATTATCACATACTTATTCAGGAAAGCCATTATCCCCTCGGCTTCCTTGCCAGTTATACACACTGTTTCTTCCTAGTCCACACTAGTAACTTCAAACTATTTTCCCCAAATCTCCCTCAAGCCACCTAACCTGTAGTAGGTTAATCTGAGAGCTTCAGAGCTAATGATATCATTCCCTTGCACAAAACCTGCATTAGATGGAGCCAGTCTAAACTCAGCCTGGCTCTTGATATGATTACCCCATATTACCTTTTCTTCCTCACTCCCTATTCCCTACACTTATCTTATTTGCCAAGAACACTCAGCTGCCCCCGTTATCGAATGTGTTTCATTGTTGTCGGGCCTGTTCTCTCTTCCTGCACTTGCTGCTGTTTCTCTCCCTGCTTCTCCCCAAAGCCCGTAGTCAGCAGATGTTGTATGAAACGTCCCCTTCTCTGTGAAGCCGTCAGTTGCTTTAAATGCAAACTCTGTATTTATTTAAAGAGCCTTAATATAAGTTTTAAACTCCGTGGTGCCTTGATCATGGTATGAGTTCAGTAAATAATGGGATTTTGGCTTTGTTTAATAAGAATAAGAGCGTATTTTTCCTTCTGCTGTGTTAACAGCTTATTGAAAGCAAGGGATACAGGCTTAATATTGCCCTAACAAATGGAGCTCTGTTTACAGAGCTTGGTTGCTAATGAAATAGAATGCCTTGATCTAATGAAAAATGAAAATTTCCTACCAGATAATAAGATGCCCAGATCTTGTCATTTTCCTACATCTTTCTTCAGTTCAAAGGAAATGACATTTACGACAGCCTTGTTATGACATAGTTTCTGCTGAGTGTAAAATCATTGAATATAGTTGTGCTTTGTAAACCTCATTAAACAGGTACATCTTTTGATAATGTGACTTCACAAGCCCTTATAGTGACTAATTGAAACGGCTGCCAGCAATCTGGAATTTTCTTCTTCTTTTTTTTTAATTTCAGGTTAATCTGACTGTACAAACTACCAAATCACAATATTTGAATTTGTTAGGTAGAGTCCCTCTTATAGTTCTGTCCTGCACCCAGAAAGCGTGTCATGCACCCCTACATTGTGCCCATTTGGTGGGAGCACCCCCTCTCCCCTCCTTCCCCTCCCTCGTTCCCCCTCCCCCCCAACTTGAATTGAAATGAGTTTTTCTCCTATGTGGGCGTGAATTATGTCGCCTTCATATTAATATTGAATACAATATTATGGGCATGAATTATATCATCTTCACATTAGTATTGAATACAATATTAATTTGCCTTTCCATCCTGTGATACTTTACAATCTGGAATTTTCTTGCTCAAAATACTGTTTTGATATTACCTTTCTCCTCTTACACTAGATTAGTGGTTCTCAAAGCCTAACATTATGGGGTGTTTTTAAGTGCACATTCTCAGGCCCTTCGTTAAAGACTGTGATTTCATAGGTATTAGGGTGGAATTCACAAGTGTGCATTTTTGAATGTGTCTCATGTAGGTGATATTTAACTATATTTTACAGAAAATACTGCTCTTCATGAAATGTTTGTATTGCAGTGAACTTTTAGACTGACCTGTTTTGTTTCTTAAAAAACCTTTCTCATGACAGAAACAGAAAATCTGTGGGAGCTTGACCTTGCAGCATCACATGCTGGAACCTGTCCAGCGGATCCCCCGGTATGAGATGCTCCTTAAGGACTACCTAAGGAAACTGCCACCTGACTCCCCAGACTGGAATGACGCCAAAAGTAAATGCTTTCCCTCACCCCATTGTTGGATAGTCAGTGGGCAAGCAGCCTGTGATCCCAAAGCAAGATGTGGCTTACAGCGACTTTTAGGCAAATATTGCATTCAGAAAATAAGCTCAGTGGAAATTATTATCAGCTCCTCAGTTAGGGAAGTCACTTTTGAACCAAAATCACAAGTTTAGACCAATGCAAATCACATTTCTCATGTTGGTTTCACTTTAATGACTACCCTACAATATAAAACTATGGTCTTAGAGACATCTGGAATAGCAGTACACAATTACCTTCTCACAGGAAGAGTACAGCCATTCAGAATTACAAGTGCCACTGTTTAATTAGATAGGCTGATGCATGCCAAGAAAGCAAAGGTGACATTTGCTGTGTAAAAATAACCTAAACAAAGTTAGCTCCACCTACCTTAAGACAGAGGTGCTATTTATTTCGTTTGATAACATTTTCTCTAAGAAACCTTTATTATAATTCTGTTAGATAGCTTTTCTTTTCTCTTATAATGAAAGGTTTTTTTTAAAGGTTTATGAGTGTCAATAGTTTAGTTTTCTGGTGCATTTATAAAAATCAGTCAGTATAAAGAAATGAAAATTTCAGAAATAGAAATGGGGCTGGTGTGGAGGTTCAAACCTGTGATCCTAGCACTCTGGGAGGCTGAGGAGGGCAGCACTTGACCTCAGGAGTTTGAGACCTGCCTGAGCAAGAGTGAGACCCTACTTAAAAAATAGAAAAAATTAGCTGGGCATTGTAGTGGGTACCTGTAGCCTGTAGTACCAGCTACTTGGGAAGCCAAGTCGTGAGGGTGGCTCAAGCCCAAGAGTTTGAGGTTGCTGTGAGCTACGGTTATGCTGCAGCACAATGCCACAGTGACTGAGTGAGACTCTGTTTCAAAAAAAAAAGAGGCTCGGCGCCTGTGGCTCAAGTGGCTAAGGTTCCAGCCACATACACCTAAAGTGGCAGGTTCGAATCCAGCCTGGGCCTGCCAAAACAACAATGACGGCTGCAACCAAAAAAAAAAAAAAAATAGCCAAGCAATGTGGCAGGCGCCTGTGGTCCCAGCTACTTGGGAGTCTAAGGCAGGAGATTTGCTTGAGCCTGGGAGTTGGAGGTTGCTGTGAGCTGTGATACCACGGCACTCTATCCAGGGGGATAGCTTGAGGCTCTGTCTCAGAAAAATAAAAATAAAAAAAAGAAAGAAATGGCTTGAGGCTAGGTGTGGTAGTTCACACCTGTAATCCCAGTATTCTGGGAGGGCAAAGTGGGAAGATTGCTTGAGCCCAGGATTTTCAAACCAGCCTGGGCAACATAGTGAGACCCCCATCTCTACAAAGAAAATTTTTTTTAAAGCAGCAGTTTGATAGTCAACAAGTAGTTAACAATACTGTTATACAGGCTTACAACGTTGCAACTTTCTCTTACAATTTCTTGCCTTCTATTGTAAGAATCTCAGTGAAAGTTCAGCAACACAAAGCATTATCTTTGGTCTTGGAACCTGAGTCTTTGCTTGAACACAAGCTGTCTGATATGTTTTTTCCACCGTCCGAGTGACTCAGTGACCACAGAACTTTTCTCCTCCCTTTCCCCTTCTACAGCTTAGAATGAACTGACTTGCCCCCTTCCCCCAGCCCAACACTTCCTAGAAACTCTGCCTCCACCCACTTTGCACCCAGCTGGCCTGAGCACCGACCTTCAGTGGCAGACTTAGTGGTGTGCGTGGAGTTTGCAAACTCCACTGATCTTCCTGCAGCTCGTCTCTTGAACGTGGCCCCAGCTCATCCCATTTTGTCTCCCTCTATCCTGGATTCTGTATCGAGTGCACAGAATTGTTCAGACCACAACAGTTCTCTAAAATGTAAATAAAAATTAAATTTCTTCTACACTGGAAGACTTGATCTTCTCCCAAGATGCCTATGTCAAAAATGAGAAAGTGGGTGGCGTAGTATTCTTTTTGATTTCCCTTTGCTACTTCCACTAAAATTCTAAGGAAATCACAGAAGAAGGGGTGTTAGCGTCCTAAGAGCAGAGGGGAAAACAACAAAAGTCCATTCTGTTCAGCAGTGCACAGAAGACAGAGAATGTAGTCCCGAAGTGATGAGGTTGTTGTGGTAACAGAATTAAGCAGGCCGGTATGCACAAGACCAAAAAGAAAGGAAGAAAACAAGCCCTGTTTAAGACTGAGAGGTGCTGGTCCAGCACAAGGCCTCGGCTTCCACACCTCTTCACCAGCAGCTCCTGGAGCTGCCGCCATGTCCATGCCACAGAGTTCCCATCCCCTGCCTCACTGCACCTGCCCCAGCAGCAAAACCCTCCAACACTGGCATCAGAAGCTGCCTTGGTCCAGTTCCAGTTCTCTCAGGTTAGAACTGAGTGCATTTCCCTGAAGAAAGGTGGTTATGTTGTGTGGTTAATTTGCTCATAATACCAATAAAATGCTTAACTACTGCTGACCTGTTTTAGAACTTTTGAGTCAGAAGACCTGGGTTTCAATCTAGCCCTGCAGTCTCATAGCTGTGTGACCTTAGCCCAATCACATCACTTCTCCATTCCTTTCATCTGCCAGATGGAGGTAGTATACTTACCATTTAAGGTTGTGCAAACATTGATATTTTCATGAAAGTACCCAGCAGAGTACCTTGGATTAAACTAGTGTACACTGTAAAGTGCTAATTTTCAAGGTACGTTGTGGGTTAGATAAACCTGTGAGCCTGATCATTGTATATGCCTTTTTTTTTAATAAGGAAATACTCTTTAAGTTCCAAGTAATCTGCTTGCAAATGAACTTTTGAACGTATCCAGTTTGTAACTGCTAACTGCCATTACTTTTTGCCTTGGGTCTCAAGTGTGTAAGTTATTGAGCTATATAGGAGCACAGGAAGGATAAGGCGTATTTATTTACTTTTCTTTTTTTCCCATTTAGAATCCCTTGAAATTATATCTACAGCAGCAAGCCATTCTAATAGTGCAATAAGAAAAATGGTAAGTGGTTTTCAGAGGAGATAGGAACCTTCCGGTTGGATAATTACCAATACTACAGGCCAATAGCCCAATGCTATCTGTAGGTTTGGACCAAAGTGAACTGAAATCAGTGAACAATAAAGAATGTGTATAAAATATTTAGTGTTACCTAGAATAATCGTCTCCCCTCCTCTCTCAGGTTTCAACTTGCTGAAAACTGATGCACTTTATACCAAAATTTGGGCTTACTCTTAAAACCTTCTGAATTATTTAGATTTTAGTTAAGGTCAGAGTATCATCCCAGCCACTGATTTGAAGCCTTCAGGTATTTGATCTCGCCACGTTTTGTCTCAATTTCCTAGGACAACCTAAAGAAACTCTTAGAGATTTATGAAATGTTGGGAGAAGAGGAAGACATCGTCAACCCTTCGAATGAACTAATAAAAGAAGGGCAGATCCTCAAACTAGCTGCTCGGAACACTTCAGCACAAGAACGCTACCTTTTCTTAGTGAGTATTAGAGCGTCCGCAAGAAACAGAAGGATAATTCCTAAAAATTATTGCATACATCCTGGAAAGGTAGGAGACTTCCTTGCTTACCAAAGCAATGAAATCCATCTTGGTTGAATCCACACTGTCAGTATTCCAAATGAGGGAGCGTTCTAAGTAAATGAAATAGTATTTTTTGGTAGTTTCTCTGTGAACTGAATGGGCGTGATTTACTTCAGTAACACACAGTGAAGACAATTTGACTTAATGTACACGTGCGTTATGATGTACTTTCTGAAATCCTCTGTTTGCTCATTTCAAATTGTCTCACTCTTACAGGCCAATGGGTACCATTCCCTGGATATTTTTGTCAACATACTATTTCTTGACAGTTCCCCTCCTAATCCTCTTTAAATTACTGTTTTTGATGGTTCTGAGTTAAAGAAAAATACATAGACATGGTTGAAAGACCTGTGTCTGAAATAGCTATAGTAAGAGTACATGAGGTAGCACGTTGTTTTTTTTTTTTTTTTCTTTTTTGAGACAGAGTCTCACTCTGCGTCCTGGGTAGAGTGCTATGGCCTCACAGCAACCTCAAACTCTTGGGCTTAAGTGATTCTCTTGCCTCAGCCTCCCAAGTAGCCGGGACTACAGGTGCCCGCCATAACACCCAGCTATTTTTTTGTTGCAGTTGTCATTGTTGTTTAGCTGGCCCGGGTGTGTGGCTGGCGCTGTAACCACTGTGCTCTGGGCGCCGAGCCAGCATGTTCTTTTTCAATGCAGTCAGTCCTTGGTTCCTTCTGGAAATGGTAATTTGGGACTTAGCTCGAATGTAAGAGCTCTTCCTGGAACAGCCGGGCCGTTATGATTATGATTTTGTTTTTTAGTTTGCACATGGTTTTTATTCCTTATTACCTAATTAATTTCTTTTCCTTTCTATAATAAGATGATAAGAATAATAGCAGGTAGCATTGACAAAGAGTAGGCTAATACTGGAAGATCAATAAATGTTAGCCATTATTATGACATTACTAAAGGCAAAGAAACAAAGACACGTTGCTTAAGAGGCTGCCTAGCAACTAGCCCAGGATGCACTCTCAGGACATTATTACTCACTGCAAGGCAGTCAGCTCGCCAGCCACAGCACAAGTTGTCATTCAGAGCTGAGGTTTTTGTTGTCTATTTCTAGCTTCCCATGAAAGGCAGATTTATGGAAACTCATTGTCACACAGAGGGGTATTGGGTATCTCTCGGTAATCTTTTTTTTTTTTTTTTTTTTTTGAGACAGAGCCTCAAGCTGTCCCCCTGGGTAGAGTGCCATGGCATCATGCTCACAGCAACCTCCAACTCCTGGGCTCAAGCGAGTCTACTGCCTCCGCCTCCCAAGTAGCTGGGACCACAGGCGCCCGCCACAACGCCCGGCCATTTTTTGGTTGCAGCCATCATTGTTGTTTGGCGGGTCCGGGCTGGGGATTCGAACCCGCCACCTTAGGTGTACGTGGCTGGCGCCTTAGCCGGTTGAGCTATAGGCACCGAGCCGGTAATCTTTTAAAAGAACATTTGGTTACCATATGACCCAGCAGTCCCACTCTCAAGTTTGTATAGCTCAAGAAAATTGAAAACGTGTCTGTGCAAAAGCTTTTCCATCATCATCCACAGCACCGTTATTTGGAATAGCCAAAAAAGTCAAAGCAACCTAAATGTCCCTCACCTGATGAATAGGTAAAAAGGTGGCACGTCCATACAATGGAATATTATATATCAATAAAAAGGAAGTTCTGATTGCTGTACATGGATAAAGCTTGAAAACACTGTGTCAAGTGAACAAAGCAAGTCACAAAAGGACCGTATGATTCCATTTACATGAAATGTCCAGAATAGGTAAATGCAGGGACAGGGAATGTAAGGAGTGGTTGCCTGGGGCCATTGTGGAGAAGAAAATGGGTACAAAGCTTCTTACTGTGTCATAACATATTCTGGAATTAGTGCTGATGGTTACACACACAAGATTTAGAAATATTTGAAAAACCATGGCTTATTCTTTTTAAAACATTTAAGTTTATATTATGTGCATTTTACCTTAATTTTTAAAATGTGTGCATATTGTCCAGATTAACCATTAAAAACTCTCATTTGAGCTAAACAGAAGTATTTTATCTTTCACAGCCAAATATAAACAAGGACAAGTCGTGTCAGGGTTCTGAGTTCTTTCCCAAGATCTATTATGACCTACAGGTTTTATTACTTAGGTATGGCAAGGCCAATGTTGAAAAGACAGATCCCAGTAGGCAGGATCTCTGTGCCATGGAGGCGAGGGCAGCAGGGGGCAGGGTTGCTATGCCATGGAGGGGAAGGGCAGCAGGGGGCAGGGTAGTTGTGCCATGGAGGGGAAGGGCAGCAGGGGGCAGGGTCGCTGTGCTATGGAGGGGAAGGGCAGCAGGGGGCAGGGTCGCTGTGCCATGGAGGGGAAGGGCAGCAGGGGAACGTGCAGAGAAGGGCAAGGGCCCCTTCCCTGTGGTTTCCACGCTTCCACGGAAAGGAATGGCAGAGACAGTAACAGACTTGCCATTGGCTGTTTGAGTGTTTCTTTTCTCTGCGCTCTGGCACATGGGGGTTATTTGTCCTGGTCCTCAGGTGATTAGGGCGGGGGGGGGGATAGTGACCCAGAGAGTGAAGAGCTGGCTGAAAGAGGTAGTTGGAGTTGTGGGCTATGGATTGGTTGGTTTCCACTTGAAAAGTGAGTTGTTTGCCATCTCAAAGAACGAGGTGACCCTGGTTGGGGTGGGGGAGGTAGTTGCAGTCTCCAGAGTCAGCTAGGCCTTAAGGTGTCACAGCATCAGAAATACAGCATAGAAAGACGTGCTTAATACACTATCCTGGGCCAATTCCTGGGAGTCCATGTGTTCCCTCTGTCTTTACCTTTTAAGCACATGGGTGATTTTCCTGTCCTCTCTCCCTCATTGGTGTTACAGTCTCTGTAGTTAACCCTGTAGCGCTCTGTCTCACCAACTGCTTTGCCTTAATTTTCACATTTGGGAATTATTTTGAAAATAATTTTGTATCTTAATGCCAGCCAAATAAGCAGCTTTGGGATAACAGATGAGCCACTGGGGGAAGATGACAGCGAATGACTTTGAGGAGAGGACCCACCTTGTTCAGGTTGCTTTTTAAACTATCAAGCATGGCAAGCCTTTTCCTACCTGGAGAATGGGGTATCATGGAAGGAGGCTTAGGAAAGCCATATTCAGCCTTTGAAGACCCGTCTTAGGAACATTTTCGGTGTAGTTTCATTCTTTTAATCCACCCTCTCTAGGACTGGATCCACCGCAGACTCTCCCCTCCCGCCAGCATACTTTTATTCCCCTAGCCAGCATCCTGTTCCTTTATATATAGAAACTTAAGAAGTATCAGTTTTCTTTTCTCTCTAGAAAGAAAGAAAAGATTTTTCTGTTTTAATTCTTGGGATATTACATTTGTCTGAGAATCCAAATTATAGACTTCTGCTTTCCAATGATCTGCACATGTTTACAGATTTGCTTGCCTCCGACACGGCATCTTTTCCCTTTTTCAAATTAGTACTGGGTACTGTCTTGCTCTGTCTTGCACTGCTGTAATGGAATCCCTGAGACTGTGTAACTTATGAAGAGTAGAGGTTTGTTTTGTATAGTTCTAGATGCTGGGAAGGCCAAGGTTGTGGGGTTGGAACTCAGTGAGGGCCTTCTTGCTGCCTCATTGCTTGGTAGAAGGTGAGAGAGAAAGAAATCAAACGCACAGCACTTTCATCATAGGCATTAATCCATTCCCAGATTAGTGGAACCCGTGGCCTGTTCACCTCCCATCAGGCCACACTTCCCTGCACTTACCTCTCTTAGGGGTTAAGTTTTCAACACATGCCTTTCCTGGGACACATTCCAACATACTCTGTTTACTAAGGTACTCTGCTAACTAAATAACCATATCTGACATCTGAACTTTACCTTTTTATCCCACAGAATGACCTGAGAGTTTTTATTCTTGGCCTGTTGGAGTTATTTTATTCCTTATTTCCTTGCAGCTTGATAGATTCACATTTTTAAAATTTCAGATTAATATGAGGGTACAAATGATGAGGTTACGTTGTTTGCGTTGGTTAGGATAAAGTCCAAGTTGTAGCTGGGTCTTCACCCAGGGGTGTGTTGCATACCCCTACATTGTGCCTGTTAGGTGAGAGCACACCAAGCCTCCTCCCTCCTCCTCATTCTTCTCTCCCCACTTGTTTTTCTGTTGTGTGGATGTGTAGTTGTTCATTGAGTACATTGGATACTTGCTTTTCCAGTCTTGTAATACTTTACTAAGGAGAATGTCCTCCAGTTCCATCTAGGTTAATACATAGTATTCCATGGTTTACATATATTACAGTTGATTAATCCATTCATGTGTTCATGGGCACTTGGGTTGATCCCATTTCTCGGTGATTGTGAATTGAGCTACAATAAACATTCTAGTGCAAATTTCCTTACGGTAAAATGATTTTTTCCCTCCTGGGTAGATATCTAGTAATGGGAATGCAGAATCAAATGGAAGGTCTACTTTCAGCTCTTTGATGATTCTCCATACTTCTTTCCAAAGAGGCCGTGCTAATTTGCAATCCCACCAACACTGTAAAAGTGTTCCCTTGTGGTCAGCGCCCATAGCACAGTGGTTACGGCATCAGCTACATACACCGAGGCTGGCAAGTTTGAACCCTGGCCCAGGCCAGGTAAACAACAATGACAACTACAACCAAAAAATAGGCGGGCATTGTGGTGGGCGCCTGTAGTCCCAGCTACTCAGGAGGCTGAGACAAGAGAATTTGAGGTTGCTGTGAGCCGTGACGCATGGCACTCTACTAAGGGTGACAAATTAAGACTCTGTCTCAAAAAAAAAAAAAAGGTGTTGTCTTCTCTCCACAATCACACCAGTATCTGCAGCTTTGGGACTTTGTGATGTGAGCTGTTCTCTCTGCGGAGAGTTACATTTGTTTCCTTAACTTATTTAAACTTTGAGCACAGACCAAGTACTGAAAATTTTCTCCAACAATATACTATTACTTTTAAAATACATTTTAATGAAGTTGTCCCTGGTGGGAAGATGAAATTGAATTATTTCAGCAAAATAAGAGACTCAAATGCTTAATACCAGAGATCAACAAAAGAGACGTTCCCTACATTTTTTTAAACTGATAAGAACAGATACTACATTTGATCTTAGGCCAAGAAGTGCTTCCCTACCTTTTTAGATAAGATTGAGACTGACTTCTAAGTTTTGTTACCACCTAAGACCTCTAGAAATTGCCTGCCGCCTGAGATGGCTTTACTAAGCCCTGCTTCTGAGCCGCTGGCATGGAACAAAATGCAAAGAAAGAGAAAGTCTTGTACTTGATGCTGTCGTTGCTGTAACTTCTTCTTTCAGCACTACAGGAAACCCAGAGAGAAGTAATTCTCTTTGTGAAAGGCGATGGGGACTTTTGCTATAGGCTCACGGAAGAAATAACTACTGGATTTCTTCCCATATATGGCATCTCCTTTATACGCAGTTTTTAAAATCCTGCAAGAGTTCTTTCTTTCACCTGTATGAAGAAAGGAAATTTGTTGACCAGCATTAGATTTTGATCAGAATTATGTATGATTAACATATAGTTCTTGACCATTTAAAACATGAAGTTCCACTTAGGAAGAATGTAATAGAGGGAATGTAGTTACAAAAGCAGGAAAGAGAGCCGTCTGTATTTATAAGGTGATCTGTCATATTATGTGAGGATAACTACAAAGAGCAAATGCTGAGAACTTTCACATTCACACACTTGTGTTTCTCTAAAATAACTTGACTTTGCTGAACTTTGTAAAACTCCCTGGAGCTCAAGGATCGCCTACCTCAGAAATGTTACTCCATCATAGCACACGTGTCCCCCATTTTGCAGCAACCATGTGGTTATATTGTTGATGGCTTGAAAGTGTGCCCTCTAGCCTTCTGGAGGGAGCATTGCAGCTTTTGTAACGTGCATAACCTTGATCACGTCTCCTCCTAATAAGGCCTTGATAGAAGAGGGAAAGAAAAGTTAACAAAAAGAATTAGCAATCAGGCTCGGCGCCTATGGCTCAGCCGGCTAAGGCGCCAGCCACGTACACCTAGGGTGGCGGGTTCGAATCCCCAGCCCGGACCCGCCAGACAACAATGATGGCTGCAACCAAAAAATGGCCGGGCGTTGTGGCGGGCGCCTGTGGTCC